ATTCTGTAACTGCAATGAATCTGGCTGTTCATACTCTTCCTTGATATCACTGGCAGTAAGCAGCGCCCATGCAACCAAGACCTGCATGTTATTAGCCCAGACAGTTTGGTAGTGAACCCTGCTACTACAGCCTTATTTTTCTCATTCATAATAGTTTGACACATTGCCCTTGAAGGTACAGTTTCCCAGGCTCGCAAGGTCTCTACTTCCCTAAACAAAGGTGAGTACTATTTTCCGTCATTTGACTGGGGGGGGGGGGGGAGCCCCCAGGCTGCTGAGATACGCACGGAAAATTGCCTAACTTTGCTGATGTGGTTGTTTTCCAATCTGAAACATGGCATGTTCAACTCAGATCTAAAATCTAAGGCAGTGTCCAGGAAAGTCCTCACTGATTTTCTTGGGCATCTGAATCAAAGTTTAATGGGGGAAACTGTCAGGAAGTTAACGAAACTGCTGATCCCCGTAGACAGAGCATGGGAAATTTCAGTGTCTGAGCATTCACACTTCCAGGGCATAAGAAGACTGGAAAGCACACACTTCTTAGTCTGCATCAACAGCTGCTAGCAAAATGTTATTGTTAGTTAGGGCAACCTGATGTTTTGCCAAAGATTTTCCATTTTTCTCTCCATGTTTCATTTTCCCTGCTTCTTCTCTAAAATCCCACAGATATTCTGAAAGTGATTATTAAAACCAGAAACCTACAGACCCAGCAGCAGTGGTAATTCAGCCCTGCTGCACATGCATCATGTTCTCATTCCTTGTTATTTTTCAATACCTAGTTTAAAATACTCCTGCAAGTGTGTTTTCAGCTATAGGCCTTACAGTAAATGAGCTGACTGCATTGCCATTTTGGGAAAGTTGCTGTAGGAATCTTAACATTTGTGTTTTTCATCTTTTGATTGTGCAGCCTTGATGTGACATTAATAGCATCTTTGCATTTTCTTCCCATGATAGCTCTGTCAATATTCTGCTACACTATACATTCCTTGCCACTGGCTTGCCCCTTACATCATTCTTCTGCACATCTCTGTCTATTGATCTAGAGCAGGATTTCCTAAGACACAGGATAGTTTACAACGTTTCTGCAGCCCCTAGTATGCTCAAGTTCTAGCCTGTAAATTGTACTTAGTGAGGCACTGCTGCAATACAAATATCTAGCCAAAAATATTACCAGTTAGAGGTCTTGATAGTGCTCCAGAGTGACCATTTATCATTAAAAAGCAAACAAAAGTTCAAGCCACCACTGAAATGCTTGAGTTTGCTGATAGCCTTCAACCCCAGCTGTGTGGCGGGGATTGTCCGTCACAGTGGGTGCCACAGATGTTATATTAAATGTCAGTCCTTATCAGTGGTATCATCTTCCACCAAAGAATATCAGAAGGAAACTTGTTCTAGAACAAGGATTAACTGTATATTTGAGTGCTGAGACAAAGAAATAATCATGAGAGGATGCTTTACACTTTAGCAGTGGACATCTTTTCAGAGATTCATACAGACGACAACTCAATTCCAAACATTTGGAAAATCTGGTCTGTAAACTGCCAGAAGTTATTTTAACTCACGCAGCTTTTGGACTTGAATCTGCTGATTCATCTGAACTAAAAAAAAAACCAAAATTACCCAGATGCACGCACTTCAACAAACTCTAGTCAGAACACAGATGAGTTTCCAGCTGAAGTCAGTCTACCAGATGATGTCCTATCCAAGGCTGCCTGGTTTCCCTCTGAGGACCTGGGATGCTCAGGAGATCAACCCTCCTCATGTCATGGTTTAAGTCCTCAGAAAGAGTACCTCAAATCAGGGTAGCCTCAGATGATGTCCAGGACTGAGGTAACTGGGTGATCAATTTGGTACTGGGCAGAGGAAATCAAACTGAAATTTTTTTATCGTCCCCCAAAAAAGGAAAGATACTGGGAAAACTTTTTGTGATAAATTTCCAGTTTCATCAAACACATTGGTAAGTTTTTTCAGGTTACTGGATATCTCTTGGAAGCAACACTGTGCATTCCAGCTTACTTGAATTTAGGCACACAAGTGCCTTTCTGTATCTGCACTCTAGCTGGGGTCTTCCCAGCCATGGTGCTGCTGGTTCGTGAGCAAGTGGAGGAGTCTGTGCATGTGTGTGCCAACACTGAGTGCACCCAAAATGGCTCAGCCGATTCTGTTAAGCGGGTCTTGAACATTTCTAAGACAGAGGGCAGGGAAACTGAGGAAGCAGGTCCTTTTCACATGTTGACTTCAGAGCAAACCCA